TCAAAATTGGATCGACCATCGATATGGTCGATTATTGGATTAGTGCCCAAAAATGAGTAACTTTGTAAATAGCTTTTCGCTTCAAAACTTCGATCGAAACTCCATGAAAATAGCATCAAAATGTTCATTTTAACATGCTCTTTCGAATGATGTTTGATTCAATAGGGTTATCCCGAAAAATTCCTAATGGGCCGATTTGTGGTCTAATGCGCCCCCGTCCTTTAGGAATGGCGAACAATGAAGAATTCAATCGAATGAATCTAAATGAGCTTCCCAAGACTGCGACGAGAGCATAACTGAAGTCGTTTTTTTTCTCGTCAGAGAAAAAGGAGCATCGTGATTAAATGAAGCATAAATAGAGAGAGCACAAAACTACAGAAGAATGATGAGATCAGTGTCAACGTTGTTGTGCATGAATTCATGGTTGTTGATGGTTGTGTTGCTGTTGATCTTCATCGATCATTGGTTCGAATTCATCGGCACCGTCGAGGAGCAGATTGGCGTCATTTGGCATGGCCGGTTGACTTGATGAATTGATGTTGCTATGTTCAAGCTGCTCCATTCTTATACTCGTGTCTCCATGTTGAATTTCTTGTGAGCCTTGTTCTGGGCCCTCCTCCTCGATTGAAGATGTGGCATCGTCATCGCTGTCGTCTTCATCTTCCTCCATTCGCATTTCTTCGGTTTTGACCTCTTGATTCGATTTGTTTTCACACTGGCTAGAATGTGTGCAAAAGTTTCCGTATTGATGAGACTACCTGCTTGGAAAAGACGGGGACGCGTATCGTTTGGCGAAGGAGTGATGCGAATGTCATTCACTCCAATACGATAAACATTAGTCTTCTTGTTATTCTTTCAATTTTTGCAGGGGTGAGGGTGAGAGTGTGGGTGAGGGCGAGAGGGATATAATTCTCTTCACCCTCACTCTCATATGTTGTAAATATGTCGAGCTGTTTGAAGAACCTCTAATGAATACTAAATCAGAGCGGCCGTTGTACCAAATGGCTCCAAAGCCGTTGACATAGAATTTCACCTAACTAATGAATATTTTCGGCCTAGCACCACCGATCGGAATCCAATACACTCTTCCACGTTGGTCGACTTCGAATTTCTTTTCATCAGTGAAAATAACATTGCACCAATTGTCTAACAAATGCGTAGAAGCAAATTGGAAACGACGAGCTACCTGAGTTAAATTAATTGTCCAATGAATTTTCGAATGGACTGGATGATAATTTTCTTTCCTCTGATTCGACGTATTGACCGATCACTCAAACGCACACCAGTTCTTGATTCCAATCGATAGGCGATGGACGATGATGTTGCTGAAGGATTTTGTCTCATTATTCCACGAAATGCTCGCTGAACTGAACCTTGTACCAATGGCTTCCGTCCTCTTCCTCTGCGTTCTAAAACATCATCTTTTTCGAGATACAGGTTTATGATTCTATGCACAGTGGAGGATGAGCATTCCAATCGACGTGCAATTTCTGCTATAGATAAATCGATATCAAATCGTAATGTGATAATTTTTCAACGTTCTCTAACGGACAGATGACGTGGCATTAAACCTTTTTATTTGAATATCTCAGTGAATATTTATGTTGGGGTCGGTGTTTCTGCACTATCATGTTTTTATCGACTTTTTATCGTCGAAATCGTTTTGCTAATGTAATAATTGGCTGAGGGTTGTGCCAATAGTTGATCACGTGTTTCATGAACACTACCAAAGATGTCACCATTCGTAAACCATTATTATAAGATACTAATCGATCCTTACCAAGTCAAAATCAAAGAAGAAATACCAAAAATACAAGCATATTGACAAGTGTTTGTCGCAACCACCTGTGAGAGTGTAAGAGTGATTTCCCATGTTCTCAGTCAACTCCTAATGGATATGGCTGAAATTTTGTCAGCAGATAGAGTAACTCACGAGCACTCTGTGGTAAAAACATGGACCATAAAAGATGTTTCTATCAAAGAGAAAATTGATAAACATGCTTTTCCGTTTTTTACGACCAGGGGAATATATGCTATTATTGTTTTCGAGAGTTTCACCTTCGACATTTTTCCTTCCACATTTTGCTACTTTACCATTTGATAAGACGTGGTAAGTTTTTTGAATATTCGCGTATTATTTTTGTTGTCTTATCGTCTACCGATTTCTCTGCTTCTTATCTTTCGGTGACTTTGTCAATCTATTTGGATTGGGTGTTTTTCTTATATAGATATTGTGCGCACTAAGTGACAAACAGTAGTCTTTCACAAGCGCAAGAAATGAATGTATCGATTTTAAATCATATCTTTAGTCCACCTGATCTGCCGTCGTCAGCCAGCGATGATTTCTTGATCCAGGATAAACATGAAAAGGAGTATCAATTACTCGAATGTGTGAAAGAATTTTTCAATTCAATTCATTCATTGTAGCGACAAATTTATTTCCAATCTTTGAAATACTTAACAATTGTATTCAACGTTGGTCGAGTTTACAAAACCTTCAACATTTGTCGGTGCCAAGTGTTCAGTCCGCTTTTGAGCAATTACTACCAGGAAACTTTATTCCTTTTTATTTTCATGCTCAAAATGCGGCAATTCTGATCGAAATCGACGAAAACAATATCAATCAACCGTTAATTTCAGCCTGGGAAGTATTATTACCAAGCGACAAGATAACATCTTCGCTGCTGCCTCACATCTCTTGCTTTCCGGTGACTGCGTACAGATTAGATGATCGATCTAAGCTGACGTCCAAAGTTCACTGCGAATTACTAATCGATTTCATATACAATACTATCGAGTATTCCACGTCTTTCAAATCAAATCGACAGGTAGGTGAAATTCGTGAAGTACCAGAATCCCATTATGTATGCCAGTGGTGGATTCAACATTTCAACACGATAACAATCGAAGACAATACCAGCAACTCGATTTCATTCCAGAAAAAACATCGCGATCAAATTCGATGGGATAATGCATTGTTACCTTTTCGACGTTCGGGTTTATGGATGACGATCAAAGTTGTCCTACAAACAATTCTTACCAGACGTTTGAAGAATATTGGTACTCTCGTTTATAAACTGTTAATCACTCATTTTCTAACACATGTTCTTTACAACAATCGTTCGAAAATATCCATTGATTTCTTGGTTCATGGTCTTCGAAAAATTGCTCAACGAATGAACAAAATCGATGATTTGTTATCATCGATGGAAACGAAGAGAGAAACAGAAGATCATTCAGATCTAGAAACATCCAACGAAATGTCAAAGAAACGTCGAAAAATAGCCACAATCGTCAATGCTTTCTCGATCGATTCGCATGATGTGAACGAATGGATTCAACGCACGAAACGAGCAATCAAAATAGAGATCAACGAGATGATTCCAAAATCTGATTGGCAAAAATCCACTCGAATGTATCCACAAACGAATTCGAAATTCCCCATTATTGATTTCCATCTGAATGAGTCGGAAATGTGTCAACATGCGTGTACAGGATTGAACACGTATTTGACTCATCATCAAACCAGTCAAACATTCGGACAGTTTTCATGTGTTCCCAACTCTAACGATTCACCTGACGTCAATTCCATCGATTACATACCGTCCATTCGCACGTGGACAGGAGCCTATAATTATACGACCGCAATCGCTTTAACTCGTCTAGAACTCTGGGTCGCACATTCTCTCGACAAATGGTTTCATCGTCCTACCATATCTGCAGATCGTTTTCAAGTATTGTTGCGCTTCTTCGAGGAATATCAAGATGCAGCATTAAATCATTATTATTCAGAATCGAGTCCAAGCGATCCTATGGGTTATAGTCGATTTATTCTGACATCACTAACAATTCTTCGTTCGATGCATCAGATATTGTGTACAGACTCAAGATATGAACGACTGAAACATCATTCCATTCACATTCCCAATCTGTTCGAACTGTTCGAATTCTTGATTCTACCGACACGTGATGATATGGTTCGAGCGCGTGATCTCTACGAGTATTTTCTATCATTCAAGAATCGATCATATTCTGATCTTTTAACAAACGTCGACTCTGTTAATGCATTAGGTGTTTACTATGCCTCTCAATCATCAACGATGAAGAACAGTATTAAGCAAATTAGAGCGCAAGCAGAACGGGATAAACAAGAGAAAATACAAGAAGTAAACAAGGCCGAAGAAAAATACAGACAACTGATGAATTCAGTAGGTCATCTGTCTTGACAATGTTCGCATGACTATCGGTTTAGGTACTATAGCAAATGTCAAAAGTGTAGAACTCAGTAAGAAGCGTCGAATATCTCAGTGAAAATCTATGAATGTCCATTACCAATAAGAGAAGAAAGTGCACTCGCTGTCATCTTCGAATTACAAATGCCGATGGAAATCAGATCTTATCGTGACGTGCTTTGGCAATTTATCAATCGTCCAAAACCGAATCCCAGTCATCAAATGTATGAATGGTTGAGTGTTCCTCCTGATGCCAGTAAACTAGGACCCTGTCACACTGCTCCGGCTAGTTACAAAGTGAAATTAGTATCTTCTACAAAATGTGTGACACAAACGCATTATCCTTCGCCACCGATTGCTACTTCATCTGTTGACGAGTTCCTATTCGAAAATAGTTTGAACGTTCAAATCTCACCAACTCGACCAATGGATTCCAAAGCCGAACAGCAAATATTGACACCTCAATTGAATCAGGATGACTACAAATCGTTGCAGTGCGCTGTCAACACAACAGAATTCGTACAAAACCAGGTCATTGCTCAATTATGTGCTTGTCCAGCTCGATTGAAACCTGCACAATATGTAGAATTCGGATCATTTCGATCAGGACATCGTCTGCAATGGTGGAATCTCTTGACAATTTTGGAAATGGATTCGTTGCCTATTTCTGAAGAAAGTGTAGCAATATTACTTACACATTCAATACTTCAATATGGTCCATTGACAACGTCAAGAAGCGCATCTTCGAATCCTTAGTGTTCAGAATCGCACGAACCATTATTGGACGATCATTTTGTCGATGAGATAATCTTACGATTGGATCGTCATTTAGATGATTGTGAATTAAATTGGCAAAATGAACTGGTTTTAATAGTACTGAATATGATTACGATGAGATTATTAACTGTATGTAACTCCACTCGCACGGATCGAGTTGCTTATGTAGTGATGAAATGTCGTACGACGGGTGAAAAATGGATACAACGGATCACAGAATGTCTTCAGGCAATATCTCCGTCAGCTCTCAATGAAATGAACCAACTTCGTCTGAAAATAATCAATGTAGGTATTGCCTGTCTCTTGACGTTTGAAACTCATCTAGATCGTATTTGTTATGTACTATCATCGAATGAACATATCATCTCTTTCTTGAAAGCAATAACTACTATTCACGATAATCTTAGTTTAAACAAAAATCCAACTACGGCGAGTACGTTTAGGAGAAATCTGATGAGATTTACTGAACATGTCTCAGTTATGGTTCAACCATCGTAGTTATCCTGCTTTCGTTTTGACCATTTTTCATTCTTATTTCTTTT